CAGCCCCCGCACCGGCCCCCTCAGGGAGAGCAGCAGTGGGCACCAGCACCGGCCCAGCCACCTCAGGGAGAGCAGCAGTGGGCACCAGCCCACGCACCGGCCCAGCCACCTCAGGGAGAGCAGCAGCGGGCACCAACCCTGCCCCGGCCACCTCAGGGAGAGCAGCAGCGGGCACCAGCCCTGGCCCCCTCAGGGAGAGCAGCAGCGGGCACCACCCCCGCCCCCCTCAGGGAGAGCAGCAGCGGGCACCAGCCCCGCCCCGGCCCCCTCAGGGAGAGCAGCAGCGGGCACCAGCCCCTGCACCGGCAGTGGCTCGTGCCTGGGCCAGTAGATAGGAAGTGGCTCCCCTCATTGGCACCCCCTATTCCCAGGCCAGGCCGGGCTGTGCCCCCCCTCCCTCAGGTTAGACTCAGGCCGCCCCCCCGCAGAGGCTGCCCTGGCTGGGCCAGGTCCCTGCGTCCCCGGGCCCGGCAGGACCCCCCCCCCAGTCTGTACGGGAGCCGCGCGGAACGGGACTACGCAATAAATGGCATGGCCAGTGCTCGGCGTGGCGTGGCCGTGGGCTGCGTGGGGCGGGCGCGGGCTGGGGGGGATCCAGAGCAAACCGCTAGGGGGAGCCCAGGCTCAGCGCTGGGATTAGCGATCGGGGGGATCCCGATCCCGCCCACACAGCTACGTCAGCCCGGGGGGTGGGACACGGCGTCGCCCCGCCCCCACGTAACGACGCCGCTGGCGGCTGCAGCCAATGGCATTCGCGCGCTCTGTTCAAATGGCGGGTGCGGCGCGCGGTAGCGGAGCAGGTCGGGTCCCCATGGAGACCACCGGGCCCCCCGCGGAGAGCGCGGTCGCGCGCGAGGTGAGGGCGGCCCCGGGGGAGGGACCCGGGCCGGGCGGGGCCCCGTGGGGGGGAGGGAGCCCGGGGCCGCTCGGGGCAGGTCCGCGCCGCTCTCCCCGCCGGGCCCCGGCCCCCCCGCGCCGCCTGTCCGGTCACACGCGGTGTTTTTGTGTCCAGCCCCGGAAGGCCGCCGGCCGGGCCCCGCTCCAGGACCTGTCGCGGCAGCAGCCGCCGGCGCCCCCGAAGCCGACGTTTCCCGGGAGCCGGATGGAGCCTGTGACGTGCTCGAGTCTCACGCCGCTGTTCCGCCGGCTGCGGCTGCAGGTGCGGGGGGGGCGGGAGCGCGCGGGGCCGGGGGGAGCCCTGCGAACCCCGCACGGCCGGGCCCGCACTCCGGGGCGCTCCGCACTGGGCCCCCCCCGACCCGTGGGGGACGGGTCACGTCCTACCATGTAAAACAAATACAAGCTGTTTAATCAACAATCCGCTTTAAGAAGAAGGAGGAAAAGGGGAAAGGAAAACCCGTCCCCGGCCCGGTGACAGGGACCCTCACAAACCGTGTCTGGCACCTCAGGGCACTTCGCAGTCTGTTCCCGGTGGGTCCCCGGCCTCCTGCTCGGGCCCTGGCCGGGCTGCAGGGATGCTGCCGGCTGGACACTTGCAGTGGTGGTGGCCACTCACCTGGGCTTTGGGTGGTGGGACCCTTCTTCCAGCGTCAGCCCCCTGTCGGGTTAAGATCCCCCTCCCAGCCTGGCCTGCAAGGACCCTTGGCTGGGGGCATAGGTGCCAACTCTGGGGGTGCTCCAGGGCTGGAGCACCCACTGGCACCAGTCAACTGTTACTGCCCCGCGGGCCCCATCAGCTGTTCGGCGGGGCTCCGGGGCCCTATCAGCAGTTTTTTGCAGAGCCCGGAGCCACCGCCGATCAGCTGTTTCGGGCTCTGAGCTGCTGTGCTGATCAGCGTGGCCCAAACAGCTCTTTCGGGCAGTGCTTTTTAGCTGTTTTTTGGCCACCAGCCAATCGGTGATGGGGACTCTCCTCCTGGGGCAGGGGCTGAGTGACCCCACCCCCACCGGTGCTGTGCCCCCCCTCCTTCTCCTACCTGCTTCTTATGGGCAGCAGGCTGCTTTCTGTGGCTCTGCAGCTCCCAACCTCGCTTCAACCTCTCGGCCAACTAAAGGCAGCAGCAGGTAAGTGTATTTCAAAGAGGGTCTTGGGGTGAGAGTCCTGCTCCCCTGCCACTACAACCTTTTCCCAGCCCCAGGTGGCTGTGCTGAGAGCCGGCACGTGGCTGTCTGCATGGGGGGGCACCGACTGCAGCCCAGCTCTCTGCATCTGGCAGGGGGCTCAGTCTGAGGCTTCTCCAAAAACATCCCCTGGACCCCCGCAGCACAGAGAGACTGAGAGTACCAGCCCCCGCTGGGCAGCTGGACCGGGACGGGCATTTGGGGGGGGGGGCGACACGTCTCCTGGGTTGCTGCGGGGTGCGGCGCTCCCTGCTTGCCCAGGCAGAGACGCCTGCCTCTTGGAGACAGTGGCCACATGTCCATGTAGTGTGCTTGGTCCCGCTCCCTGGCATCTGGGTGACTGCCTCTTCCCGGGGTGGGGGATGAAAGGGAAGAGGCAGTGGGGAAGGGGGGAGGGAGAGAGAGAAACTCAAGCTGTCAGGGGAAACCTTCCAAGCAGTGCAATCTCTGCCTTGGGGTGTGGCTGGAATCGTCTCCCAAGGGAAGGGCTAGTGTGTGACCCCCGGGTACAACCTGGGCTGGCACTGTCTCCTATCTAGTCCATGTGCTCTGGAAAACACATGTCCAAGCATCATGTTGGGGGGAGGGGGGCACTGCTGAGTCCCAGGGTTGAGTAATTCTCTGGTGATGGTCATTGAATTGCTAATTGTCATTCACTTGCTGCACAATGGCTGGTGATGGTTGTGTAACATCCACCCAGCCATTTGGTCAAGTGCCTTGTTTCTGGGGAGTTGCCTTCTGGGCTACTCGCAAATTTGCAGCCTATTTCAGTAACACCATACAGCACAATCTCATAATTTCATACACTTTAATGATATACTGTGACGAAGAGGGACTGTCCTTACAGTTTCCTCTGAATACTGTGTGGGTGCCTCAGTTTCCCCTATGTCTTAAGTCTCCAGTGTGCATAAATGGCCGACAATCTGTCTCCTAGCAACTAATGGCCAGGGCCCTTCCCCCCCCCTGCAAGGGGATAGCTAAAGGTGAACAAAAAGATCAGGTGACTTCCTGGCCCAGGAAAGAGACAAAGGCCAAAAAGGAGGGGCTGGAGGGGGTTTCAGTTTGGGGCTGGCTGGGGACGGGGAAGTGAGGGCAGACGGGGTTGTCTGGCTCACTGGGCCCCAGAATGGACCCTGCTGAGGGATCCTGTTCTCTGGACCTACAAGCTCTGTTTTAGACGGTGTTCCTGTCATCTAATAAACCTCTGTTTTACTGGCTGGCTGAGAGTCACGTCTGACTGCAAAGTGAGGGTGCAGGACCCTCTGGCTTCCGCAGGACCCCGCCTGGGCGGATTCACTGTGGGAAGCGCACGGAGGGACATATGATGAATGCTCCAAGGTCTGACCCGGGAGGTGAAGCCGTGTGAGCTTTTTGCCCTGAAGACAGTCTGCTCCGAGGGAGAGGCGGCTCCCCAAAGTCCTGACTGGCTTTGTGGGGAGCAGTTCCAGAGCATCACCCGGGGACTCCGTGACACATACGTATTTTGACAGAACAGTGGGTTTCAGCAAATCAGTACCTTTCCCATGATACCTTACACGGCATGCTTTATATGAACTATAAAGAATATATACAAATGATGAATATGGGGCTTACAGAGCACAGCACGTTACTCCCCCGAGGTATAGAGCAGTGGCTCTCAAACTTTTTTACTGGTGACCCCTTTCACATAGCAAGCCTCTGAGTGCGAACCCCCCCGCCTCCTTATACATTAAAACCAGTTTTTTATATATTCAACACCACTATAAATGCTGGAGGCAAAGCAGGGTTTGGGGTGGAGGTTGACAACTCGCGACCCCCCATGTAATAACCTCGTGACCCCCTGAGGGGTCCCGACCCCCAGTTTGAGAACCCCTGGTATAGAGTGTCCCAGCTAGAAACTCCAAGGCTTGGGACTTTTAAAAGGAGACTGGACAAAACATGCAGTAAGGATCAGCCCTGCATTGGCAGGGAGATGGACTGAGTCAGGATGATCACAGAGGGCTTTTTCCCCTGTAACTTCTATCATTCCATCCCACTCTCCTGGGAGTACAAATTCTGGTACTAAAGACCTGGTGCCTGGACCCCATATTGCTTTGCACTGGGATTGGGATTAGTGCCCTGACGTGCAACTCCTCCTATTGGGCCAGTGTCGATCCTGCTGTTAGTACAGCTATTTGCAGGTGCCCTTGTGTTTAGCTGAACTCTTGGACTCAGTCCCTGAGTGTATCCCCATTAAACTGAGAGCTAAGCTGACACTACTCTCCTGCTGTGTGGATCCCAGTGTGCGTGTACTGTGAATTTTTGGCATGCACACATGGCTGTATTTATCTCATTGTGCTGGTGGTGCTACTTCCTTGGTGTGATGATGACATTGTGCTAAGATGAATCCTGAAAATAGTGCCCTGGTGTGATGGTCACTCTGTGCTGTTCATGTGAATCCTGCATTTTTGTATGTTGTGTTGGTGTAGCCTGGTTGTTCCCAGGAAATTAGAGAGACAAGGTGAGTGAGGTAATATAACTTTATAATTTATTTATTTATCTTTTATTGGAGCAACTTTTGTTGGTGAGAGAGAGAGAGTCAAGCTTTGGAGCTTTCATAGAGTTCTTCTTCCTGAAGAAGAGTTCTGTGAAAGCTCAAAAGCTTGTCTCTCTCACCAACAGAAGCTAGTCCAATAAAAGATATTACCTCACCCACCTTTTTTCTCTAATGTGAATAGCCTCCCTCCAAAACTGGCAGAGGTGCTTGGAAGAGGGGGCGGAGAGGAGAGAGCGGTGGGAAGGGGCGGAGTGGGGGTGGGGCCTCGGAGGGCACCCACCTGCAAAACCAAAAGTCAGCACCGATGGCTGGGGGTGTCTTTCTGTGCTGGGCCCTTTGCCCAGAATCCCCCTTGGCTGGTCCCAGTTGCTCACCACACCTGGCTCTGTGGCTGCAACTCTCCCCACCCAGGACACGTCTGCTCTGTGGGCTGCTTCTGTGACTCTGCTCCCAGCTCTGACCTGTTTTCTGGGCTGCTTTTCTGGCCCCTCGGGCTGGCACGGCTCTGCTCCCTAGCTCAGCCCCACTCTGTCTGACCCAGGCAATTCCAGCTCACAGGGAGGACGGGACCCCCCTGGTCTTCTGATTCCCTGATTAGCCTGCCCGCCCTGTCAATCAGGCTCACCTGGAGCATTGGCCTCTCCCCATTGTCCGTGGGGATTGTCAGTCTCAGGGTCCTGATTTCCCATTGACTCTTCCCCTTTCTTTTGGCACTGGGAGCTAGCCAGCCAAAACACCCCCCTGAATGTTAGTAAGGGCACAACAGTCCCCTTGCATTGGCACTGACCCCACTTGCGAAGGGAGTCTTCTCCTGGGTCAGGCTGGCTAGTTTGAACCTGTCTGAGCCATGGGTCTGACTCCATGACTCCTGCTGACTGGAGCTTGCCTCTTGAGTGCGGGAGAGGGAGAAACAGCGGGGGTAGCCTGACTGCAGTTGGGAGGGCGTTGGTGTCTTGCCGTGGAAGAACGCAAGGGAGTTCCTCCACATAAGAGCCCCACAGCTCTCTAGGGTACCCTCCCTTCTGCACTGAACGCAAGCATGTTCCCTATATGCTGGGAAAGGGGCCTTCTGGGGTCAAGCTAGTCAAAGCCCGACATGCAGGATAGGCGTCCGTGTGTGTCGGAGGGGTGGAACAGCAGTGGGCAGGGGTTCTGCAGTTCTTGACCTTGTTATTTTTCCCCTCCATGCAGGATGGCAGAAGCACGTTGCCTGGCTCAGAGATGTCACCAGCTATAAAAATCTGGGCAGACTCCCTGCCAAGCACAACGTTCAGCCCCAAAACTGTGGAGGAAAACAAAGCTTGGCCCAATACAAAAGAGCAACAGCTGGATCTGGCTCCAAATAGCTCCACGCCGAAGGCTTCTGAGGCAGCTGGTAGCCCCCAGCAAATGGGCCAGGGGGAAAGTGCCATATCTGCCGGTTCTCTGCCTGGGGCTGAGCCTGGGGAGGAGCTCTGGGCCCTGCCGGACAATTCTGGGGGGAGGAGGGCAGACGCTGCAGACTCTTCCCAGTTGGAGAGAGAGGTGGAGAAGGATGAGGCAGATGGGCCATGTACACCTGATACATCTCAGGTTTCTAAAGTAACAGTGAGGATGGATGAGGCTCACACCCACGTGACAATGGCAGAGAACGAGCCCTGCCTGGACAGTGACCCTTCGGACACCAGGGCCATCCAAGACACTGCTGCTGAGCTGGGGGTGCAGGAGAAGCAGAGCCATGCTGCTGTAGCAATGGTCTCATTGGTCCCTTCTCTGTGCGCTCCTGAGAGGCCAGGCCTCCTCCTAGTGGGCTCTGCAGAGGGGTGTGACCCTGAGCAGGTGTCTGCGACACAGGTGCTTGGAAGCCCGCCTCCATCTGAGGAGACGGGCATCTGGGCTGTGATTCCAGAGCCTGATTCTCTGCAGCCTCCCAGCAGCCTGGCCACCCTTAAGGAAACGGAAGGACATAGTAGTGCCATGCCTATCCCAGGGGGAGCAGAGTCGGGAAGTTGCCCCCTCCCTTTTGCTGGTGACCAGCCCAGCTTGCTGGTGACTGAAGAGGGCTCCCCTCAGGCTTCTGTCTGGAAGGATGTGGCTTCAAGTTCTGCTCAGAAGCCTTCCCTGCAGGGAGGAGCAGCAGCAGCTCTCACAACCCCAGTGCCCTCTCGTGAGGTTGGGTGCAACGTGGCCGGTACTATCTCCTGGATGACCCCACTGGCGTGGCTGGAGAAGAACATGGGCACCTCTGCTGTGATGGAGTCCTTGAAGCAAAGCCTGCCGCTGCCAGCTCTGCAACAAGATGCAGGCACAAGTGTCACCCCAGTCTCCGCCTGCTCTGCGGGGACCTGGATGACTCCCCGAGCGCTGCTTGAGACGAGCATGAACACCTCTGTGGAATGGCCTGTCTGCGCAAAGGACAGTGCTGCAGAAACAGATTCTCTGCTCTGGCAGTAAGTTTCCCTGTTACCCACACAATTCTCTGTTACTCTCTCACTCCAGGGGCACCCACCCGTACCCAATTCCTAGGGCTCAGGGTGTACTCTTTGTGGGTTTGCAGGACATTTTACCAGTGAAAGAGCCTTAAACGGTCATACCCTTTATCCTCTAGTTACTAACAATAACCAAGGTGAATACACATGCTAAGCATACAGTGCTAGGCTCGCCAATCCTGATCAGGTAGGCGGACTTTCCCTGTTGACCAGGCAAGGTCGGGCTCGCCTGGTTTCTGGTTGCTGCATGTCATGGTCATGCAGAGGATTCTTAGCAGCTTTGATCTTAGGCTGAGTCTTAGAGGTGAGTAGTTCTTCCAGGTCTTTCCTTCTTTTTCTTCTGTTCTTTCTCTGCTGGTTTCCTTGGACCCCAGTTTATATAGTGAAACTTGAGTCCTGCTTAGCTAGACCTTAACCAATCATTTTACTAACCAATCCTAACATATTGTAACACAATTCTCTAACCTAATCATACCCCACCATCTTAATTTTGCTAGGTGTAAATTAATTATGTAACAGACAGAGATCACACAGACAAACAATAGAGAAAAGGGGACCATAAAGATAAAACAATAAAGAAATGAGGATTTCACAACCACAGCTGTTAAATGATTTCTTGCCAGACAGGATGCTATCAAACTAAGTTTTCTTTAACCATCGTAAGATCTGTTTCTTTATCTGGTGATGGTGGGTGTTGTTAGTACAGGAGCCTTCTTAACAGCCTGATATTACATTGTTTTAATATAATTTAGATGGAATGTGAGGATGTGACTTCCTGCTTCTTAGCTAATGGCTGCTTCTCTCCTAACATGGCTACAGGAAAAGGCCTTATCCTTACATCGCCAGGTCCTTGGGGTTAGTCGGCGTTCCTAAGCTGGGAGCCATTTCTGTAGTTCACAGGGGGTCTGTGCTCCTGAAGCCCCTCACAAATATCTTCTCCTCCCACCAGCTGTTCCCGAGAGCACCTGAGCACCCTGTCCCGGGCGGAGCTGGAGGGGCGGCTGGAGAGCACGCTTATCATCATTGAAGCCCTCTCGTGCCAGCTGCGGGATTGGCAGCAGAGCCAGTGGCCAGTTCCTCGTCTGGGGCCGGCAGACCAGAGAGACGTGCTCACGCAGACTGATGTCACCCACCCCAAAGCAGTAAGAGAGGCCCACTGTAGTGATGAGACCACATGCGTCTGGGGTTGCCATGGGATGGTCCCAAGCAGAGGAGGATGGCAGGTGTGGCCATGAGTTGTGCCTGCCTCCCCTCTGGCTGAGTAGATCAGAAACTTCCCCAGTTGCCTACCAGTTAATTGCACTAGATAGTGGAGCCCGTGACTGCAGTCAGGCAAAGGGGTGCTTGGCAGCCCCCCATATGCAGTGCCAGGCAAGATGGGTGGAAGGGCGCTAGCCTAGAACTCTGGAGCCCCAGGTTCTATTCCCTTTCTGCTGGACTTCCTGTGTGACCTTGGGCGAGTCACTGACCCTCTCCGTGCCTCTGATTTCTAGCTGTGCCATGGGGACAATAGCCCTGCCTGCCTTCCAGGAGAGACCTGCTAAAGGTTTTGAGGGGCTCAGATGCTGCAGAGGTAGGGGCCGTAGAAATAACTAGCTAGCTAGTGGGTCTGCAGTACTGGGGTGTGTCCAGAACTTCCGCTAGGTGTGCAGCGGGGCAGTGCTGAGCTCGCCCTGGCCAGCGCTGCCAGACTCCTGCACTGCAGCTAGCGCTTGCACTCCAATGCTCCAGATCAACAGGCCACTCAAAGTCCGTAAGGTCCCACTGGGGGTAAGTGGAGCAGAAGTGATGTGGGCTGAATGGGGATTGTTGAGTTCAGAGCTGATGAAACCTGGTCCCATGGTCGCCTGCTGCTACAGCACTGGCTAATCAAATCATGCGCATGGCTGGGCTGGCTCTCGCCAAGTTGGAGAGCTGCAGCAGTCCTTGCTGTTCCTGGCCTCCTGGTTACACTCGCCTGACTGCACCACTGACCCCCAGCTCGTCAAGGAAGGAAGCTGCAAGCGAGCATGTCTGCAGCCAGTGGGTGGGGGAGTGGCTGCATCCCTTGGCATGCGGGGCAGGGGGGTCTGGGGAGGGGCAGCGCCTGGGGGACGCTTGCAGCTGTTAGAACTAATGGTGATGCAAATGTCATGGCAACTGCTTAAATCTAGCCCTGCTGGGCGGAGATGCTGCCCCAGGTGCCCCTTCTCAGGCTGAACCTGGTTCACGTGTCCCTGGGGGAAGAAGATGAGGTGTTCAGCCTGTCTGGCTCTGCTGACCCCAGGCATGGGCAGAGTTGGCTCACGCCCTGCCCACCGTACCCCGTGAGAGACAATTCTCCTAGCCCTGTGAGTGATGGGTTGGGGATGGAATATCTTCCAGGAGGAGCAGCTTTATCATGACTTGTACATGGCAACCAGAGAGAGACTCAAGGCCCTGCAGCGGACCCGGGAGGACGAGCAGGCTCTGAAAGAGGAGCTGGAACAGGCCAGGGAGGCAATGGTAGGTCCTGGAGGGGTTTGTGTACAGGGAGGGTAGATTGCCTTCAAGGGGATGGGTGCTTCCACAGCTGGTTGTCCAAGTGTGGCTTCCAGTGAGAACAGATGGAGCTGGTTAAATGTCCAGGACCATCTCTCAGGCTACGTCTTCACTACCCGCCTGAATCGGCGGGTAGAAATCGATCTCTCGGGGATCGAATTATTGCGTCTCGTGGGGACGCGACAATCGATCCCCAAATCGACGCTTGTACTCCACCAGCGCAGGTAGGAGTAAGCGCCGTCGACAGGGGAGCCGCGGAGGTCGATTTGCCGCTGACCTCACAGCGGGGTAAGTCGGCTCGGATACATCGACTTTGCGTATCTTAAATCGACCCCCCTCCCTCCCCCCCCCCGTAGTGAGGACGTAGCCTCAGGGGCTAAGCAAAATGGACTCCTGACTCTTCCTTGTGCTTCCCAACGAGTCACCCGCTAAAGGGAGGCAGGGCCAAATCACAGGTGGGACGTTCTGCTCCCCATCCCAGGTGTTGTAACAAGCGGGCCCCCCACTTTAGGTATCGATTCCATGTACAGTGGGTCCTCTGTGAATGGCCAGTCTTTGGACAGATGGCTTGTCTACTTGCTCATCTGCACATTCAGATACTTGGGCCTGTCTCTGAAGGCAGGAGGCTGCCTAACAAGGGTCGTCACTTATACAGGTTCCTCTGCTACCACTGGTGGCAATTTGGTTACACCACCAGATGGCCAGTGGGTCCTGGACCCTTGGCTGGTGCCCAAGTCCCAGCGGTGGCCTTTTGATAGGGTTCGCAAAGCCACATCTGCGGTGTGAATGCTCCT